TTAACACGCCTCCATTCACGCATTACTTATTTTTATAGTTTTAGATACTTTATATAGCTTTATATTGCTCATTTTAGGTATTAAATAAAGGGGAGTAATATAAAAGTAGGTCTATATATAATACTAGCTAGTGGCCACATATCCTGTTACCCCTAGATCTCCAAACTATTAACAACCTAGTTAGTAACCACTTATCAAATACATTAGTTATAGAGCTACGTTGGTGTAGCCGCTACAGATCTCTTCTGCCTTCTTCCCCTTTGATGACCCCTGAGCAAGGAACCTTCAACACTATAAGTATAAGTAAGTAATACTATATATATAATTAAGTGATTAGTAAAGGATAGTATTTAAGAATACTTATTATTATATATAATTAGTTTTACTTACTATTTATTATCTTTAAAATCTAAGCTACCCTACCTTTTAAATACCTAGTTACCCTTCTTAGTTTGTTAAGAAGCCATCTTCTCTCTTTGATATAAGAATACCTTAAGACCATTCAGACCTTAAGCAGGATCGATAGGGCTTATCTGACACTAGCAAGTAACAAGATATTAAAATATAATAATTATATAAAATAGGAAAGAGAAGCTATATTTAATTAAATTTAAAAATAAATTATTAAAAAAGTAAAAGCTTAGTAAATTCTAGAGGCCTTTTATTTATAGGAATACTAAAAGGTTAGGTTAATATTTGGTATAAAAATAAGGTTATTAGTAAGGGGTTTTAGTTACTAGTAATAAAAGTAACTTAGATTTACTAAGAAGTCCCTGTTTAGCTGCCTTATAAAGCTACCTAAGGCTCTTATTATAATAACTATCCCCCTCCTAAAGGTAATCTATTCTAGATTATACTAAGCTAAAAATAAAATAATACTAGGACTTTTATTAAAGTAGAATAATAATAAAATAATAAAATAATAAAAATAGTAGATAGGTAAATAATAATAAAGTAACTAAAATATATGGACGACGGCCCGATGAGCGTCGCAATGAACGACTACGGGGTCGACAAGGACAAGTTCTATAGCAATGCGTATGGGTGTGCGGATGCGTATCCTGATGGCGGGGGCAGGGTTGAGATTGACGCTGAGGATATCAGTCTGGATGGGAGTCTGCCGAGATGTTTCTTCAATGTTCCGCTGGTTGAGGGCTGGATTGAGAAAAATGGGCATGGATGGGCGTATCTCAAGGACACCGGGTTGAATTCGGCGCATGCACAGGGGAATCGGTTAGGTTAGCTTGGGGATTGTGTCATGATGATAGCTGAGGAGGTGATGAGGAGGGGTTCTTGGTATATCGGGGGTATATCAGAGAGTACTAGGCTGAGGAAGTTGGTCTCAGACTCTTTGGCTGCCTCTGACTTTTTCTTTTCTGAGGGTACTATTCAAGCAGATATCAGACACATCTTGTTCCTGTCATGAACTTAAATAAAGCTTCTTGCTTCTCTCAGGTCTATAAGGTACAGAGCACGTGCTGACACTACAATGTATCAATGGCAACAGCCACGCCACTTGCGTAAGACCCAGAGTACAGGCCTGTTGAACGCCCTGCTGGTTATCTCCCAGGACTGCATACCCGGCGAATCTGACGGTATTGGAGAACAGTTCCCTCACTTATGACGTCGCTGGCTCCAATAGCATGGCCAGTGCGAGTCCGGGGCCGAGGGTTAGGTCTAGACCAGACTGGGATGGGAGGGTGCATCATTTCCCTTTAAGGCAGCGTGGCGTCTGGTTGTTTTGGTCTGTTGACGTCTTTTGTCTGTCTGACCATCTACTACCTAAATACTTTAATGCACAACCGTATCAGCAACCCTAATAAAGCTTCTCTTCTTCCAACCACGACAGATCAACTCTCCCTGAGTTGCCTGACGAAAAGCATTCCAAAGCAAAGGGGGGGGCCTGACAGGTCAAACCAAGCCAGTCGCCCAACCCGGGGGCAAGAACTAGCCCCTCGCAGTAAAGATCACCATCCCAATGCAGCAACACTCTGCGCTGCCGTGCAAGGCTAACTTGGCGCAATTGATTAATTCCGACCCTTTCCAACGCTTGCCTTATGCTCATTGGGCGTCTGCTGGATCGGCGGATTAGCGGCGCTTGGTTTGTGCTGAGTCTGACACTGCCTGAAAAGGACTTGGCTGGAGCCCTTAAAAACCGGTTTCCCTGATCTGTTCTCCGTCTGACTTTGACTTTGGACTTTGGCTGCATCACCATGTTGCTGCTTGTGCTCGCCTTGTTGGTGGTTCTGGAGCGGGCGTTATGTGAAGAGGGCGATATGTGTGAATTGACGGGGTCAAGGGGTATAACCACAATTGCATTCCATTCAAAAAGAAGAATTAACCAGAGAAGGCAGCATCATCGGCGACCAATTGTATTTCATCGCTGGGAACTACACCATCGCGCAGTCTGTTGGGTCCGAGACTGACACTGGTATCTCTTCTTCCCAAGTTAGGCCTCAATGTTAACAGAGTGAAGCCCCCAACCTCTACCACCTCGCCCTCGACTCCAACTTCCCCGTCTCTAGCAACATCACCTCGGCCCTCCTGCAATCCGACCCCATCGACGGCGGCCAAACCCTCGCGTACACCAGCGCCACGCAGTCCAACGGCGGCGACTCCGAAGGCGCCTTCTGGGTCTTCAACGACACAATCTACAACTTCGCGGGGGGAGACCCATCAAACTCTCCAACCAACCTAATCTCGTCATATAACATCACCAGCGGCGAGTGGAGCGATGTGCCAGTTTCCGGGGGCGAGTTCAACTTTGGGCAGCGCGAGTCCGCGGCGTTCGCGACGGCCCCGGAGGCGGGATTGGGGTTTATTCTCGGTGGGTATTATCCGTATATGAGTGGGATGGTGCGCTTCGATGCGAAGAATTTGTCCTGGACGAATGAGACGCTGGGGAGTGGCTCGTTTGGGGTCGAGCCGCCGAGTCTGTGGGCTGGGGCGCTGGTGTACATCCCTGCAGGGCCCCAGGGCATGCTGATTGCATTCGGGGGGCGCAATGTACTCTCCCTTCTTGAGTGTAATACAAAGCTGCTAATGAGGAACAGGTCACCAGGATCTTCGAAGGCGAGAATTATCTAGAACGGTCCGTCGAGGCTGACTGGCTCAACATCTATGTCTACGACATTGAGTCGCACACCTGGTGGATGCAGCGAGCGTCCGGCGATCCCCCAGAAAGCACGCGGCTGTCCTTCTGCACCGCCGTCTCCCAGTCGCCTGGCGGGTCGTCCTTTCATATCACGACGTACGCAGGCTGGAGCCGCACCGACGGCCGCTCGTATGAGAACGTCAACGTCCTGACGATCCCGAACTTCGAGTGGATCGACGCCAGCTCTGTCTCGGATGTGACGAATAGTGAGAAAGACGAGGATAGACGGGTTGGTCGGGATGCCCTTACCGGTGCCTGCCATACGTACCGCGGCTCGCAGATGATTATCCTTGGAGGCCAGGTGCGTGAGGGCAAGACGCCTGTGACGGTGGGGAACTGCACTGAGGAGTATCCGCCGATTCGTGTGCTCGATCTGTCGACATATGAGTGGCGGACGGTGCTGGATACGGAGAGCGAGTATAGCGTGCCGACGGTGATCTCGCGGGTGACAGACGGAGTGTAAGTTCCTTACCCAACCCACGTCCCAAGCGCAACTAATGGACCAGCCACCCCCTTCCAGCAGCCGGCTGGGTTGACGACAACCTCGGCGACCTGATCACCCAACGCATCGGCGACACTTCCTCTGACCCATCAGCCCCCACCGGCGACGGCGCCAGTCCAACCGACTCCTCCGATGATGATTCCACAAACAAAGGCGCCATTGCTGGCGGGGTCGTCGGAGGCGTGGCAGGGCTAACCCTCATCATCGCAGTCCCTTGGCTCTGGATCCGGCACAAGCGCAAGCAGAGGTTGCAGGCGCAGCCCACGACCGAATCGTTTGCGCCGGCAGAGGATAAATCCAAGGCGGGCTTTGCGCAGGTGGGACTTATCGGCAAGCATAATGCGATTAGTGAGATGGGGACGCCGGAGCATCCTTCGCATGTGAGGGCTGAGTTGCCGGCGAGTGGACCGGGGACGCAGCATGAGTTGCCTTGATGGAGAATATGAATGAGGGGATGGGTGGTGATGGATGAGGGATGTATATGGTTGACTAGAGTAATTGTTATAGTAATCTACCCGGTTCGTTTCTGCTATTTGCTTGGAGGTCACAATTAGGGCTCATGAACAACCACCCAACGTGGTAACGGCCTTTCTCGATTCTAGATACAGAAGATCTATGTACATATAGCCTACTTTGGTGGATTGATCAGCCCATCCTGGTGAAAGTCGTACCGAGTCTCGCGGTCCTATCTGGTCAGTATCTTGATCTGCCTCCTTAAAGCGTTGACACTGGGTGTACGGAAGACGAAGCTGAAGGAGTCGCTACGGCTGCTTGACGCGGTGGTTGCGGCGTTGCTGGAGAATCTGCTTGACGATGTGCATCTTGTGTCGAGGTATGCGGACATGCTGAAGATGCATGTCGAGCGGTTGAGGGGGACGTTTACTTCTCATTCAGGCTCTCGTGAGAATGCCCAAGCTCAGACCCAGATCTATGCGGATCCACAGCTTGGTAGTGATGCTCATGGCATTACAGTCGAGCAACCGGTGTCCGCGGTTGATAATGATACTGAGATTGCATGGGATACCGGCTTGGATTGGGCTTGTCCAGTTGACTTAGACCTCGATCTTGACCTCAGCGACTGGTTACCCCTCCCACTCGACCCCTTGATGGCGCCATTCGGGTTGGGTGGAGGCTCAGCGGAGCAAGGATCGGATCTGGATCTGGATTTCATTTGGAACTTGCCCTTGTAGAAGGAAGTGCTTTATAAGGGGTTGACAGTCCCTTCAAGAACAATCGGAAAGCTAGAATATTCGTGACCCCGTTAGACTTGACTAGATAAGAGCATGCAATGTAATATTGCTCCGCTTCGCTCCGCAGGAAAAAAAAAAAAAGAAAAAAAAAAAGTGAGGCTGACCCGATTCGAACGGATAACCTTGCGATCTGGAGTCGCTGTTCGAATATTAGCGGGGTCAAGCTAGGCTGAATGAGGTAAGACGTACCACGCGCTACCGTTGCGCCACAGCCCCTTGGTTGAGAAAGCCAGTTTCTTAAGTCCTATAGCCGACTACTGTATTTGAGTGATCACTCAGGTCTGTTCATAAGCTTGTCGATTTGTCAATTGCCTTACTTTGAAAGTGTGGACACGAGCAGGAAATGGCCTTCGGAATAGATTATAATCCACTGACGGAAAGAGATGCGATCGCTTATCAAGTTTGTTCGTCCCCGACAGAATACATACGGTCTCTATATATATATTGTGGTTTAGCTCAAGCCCTCACCGTCCGCCTCCATTATTCAAGCCAACCAAGCCCTTCCCCTCTAGCCCAATCAGTATCTGGCATCTAGATCATGCTCTTTTCTTGTCTTTCGTTGGCTCCGTTGTATAGTTCAAGGCCAGATCACGTGCACGGTGTTTTTCCGCTCCGAAATATCAGTCAGGGGGCTTACCTTCCATCCTTCTCTTCTCAACTCATCATGCCTCAAACAAGGCGTCTACTCCGCGAGGAGATCACGTACTTGGTTGCAGCAAGCCTGCCCAGATATCCCAATTCCACGTCTGTACGGCTTCGGAATGTCCAGTAGGGAATCTGTACGAGTCTCCAGTCTCCCAGTCTCAGCCACTGATCTTACCAGTTCACCCCTGTAGATCACCTCCCCTTCTTCAAATCATGCTTTCAACTCTTGAGCCATCGCATTCTCCGACTCCTCGGCCGCCAGGTGCCGACCAAATACGCCCGGCATGACCTCTCAGAGCATATTCCACTGAATGTCGGTTACATGTTGATCGAGTTCATCGAGAGCGCAAGAGGAACCATGTTGTCCTCCACATGTGCTCTGAAGAAGGATGACAAGGAATTGCAGACGAATTTTTTTTCGCTGATGGTCAAGCGTCAATCGCATCGTATCCATCGCGTTGATCCTGAAGATTCATGAAGACTGAGATGAAAGTGCAGAGCGAGACCTACCTGTCTTCCGCACCAGTAGAAATCACCTTCAGAGTTCCATGATCCTCGAATATCGACATTGACAACCGCATAGCCACGCGTTACCCTGGAGATGCTTAGTTGAAGTCCAGACCGACAGGCAAACGCACCAGAAACCAGGACCAGGACCTTCAAAGCCCTCATACCTGCTATGAGCACTCTTCGGAAGACTAAACCTCTCTGGGATATTTCCAAGGAGGGTATTGTTATCCCTGTGCTTGCCGTACGGACTCCAGACCAGGATGATGGGGACTTTGTCGCTCTTGGGAGGCCGGTAGATGTCTGAATAGAGTTTGATTCTGTCGCGCAGAGGAATGACCACATTCTGCTCGATCAGCATGTCTGCCTCGCGGGGTTTGTAGCGGCGTGGTTTCAATGGCCCTTACGGACCACCTTCGTGCAGTGGGTGGCCGGTGGACAACGAGAAGATGGGTAGGAAGAGGCCTGGACGATGATCAGCGCGCAGCCATCGAACAGGCACAGGTTAACAGACCTTGCGGATGCAATGGAGTGAGCATTCCCACCTCGAGGCCATCAAAGTCGCGCGTGGCAGGTTGGGTGCTGCGGGCACCTCGCAACCACTCGATCGAGCTGGAGTAGACTTTCGCGCTGTGGAAGACAGTGGCAGCCATTATTTGTCAAGAAGAGAAATATGCAGTGGGAACAGTTCAATAGTGACCGGAACAGGGTGAGATGGAGGGTGTTCTGGGGATGTTGATATTACTCTATTCGTTATTCTGTGTCCGATCTTGGCTCCCGAGTGGTGAGGCTGTCACATGACGTGAAGTCCTTGGCGCCAAGCCCGCCCTCATTTCTCTTCCTCTTCCTCTCTGCCAACTTCAATCTCTCCCTCCTTTCCCCCTTCGTCCCTTGTCTTCTCTCTGCATTTATCACACTCACGCTTCAACTTCTATATCTCGGATGGAGTCCATTGTCTCAATCCTGTCCTATCCATACCCTAGACAGAATGTCGGAATCGGCATTCGCTTATCATGAGCCCCCAATTCCCACAATCCTCAACCAAACGGGCCTGTTGCTCGCCCTGAATCTCGTCAACACTTGTCTTGACAAACTGCTCTACTGCGGTCTAATCGGTCAGTTGTTCATCGGCATCCTCTGGGGCACCCCGGGCGCGAAATGGCTCGACCGGGACGTGGAAACCGTCATCCAGCAGCTTGGCTATCTTGGCTTGATCATGTTGGTCTATGAAGGCGGATTGTCGACCTCGCTTGCCTCGCTCAGGGCCAATGTGTGGCTGTCGCTTGCGGTAGCATTAACTGGTATTGCCGTTCCGATGGCTCTGTCATTTATCCTCATGGAGTTGGTCTCTGCCACCCCGCTGCAGGCGTTTTCTGCCGGGGCGGCGCTGAGTGCGACGAGCTTAGGAACGACCTTTACCATTCTGTCAACGACTGAGCTGATCACTACACGACTCGGGACGGTCACTACGAGTGCGGCTATGCTAGATGACGTCGTTGGGCTCGTCATGGTCCAGATCATCTCAAATCTTGGTGGGAGCGGGGACTCATTCAGTGCTGTTACTGTTGTTCGACCGTTGTTTGTCTCGCTTGGATTCGGGATCGGGGTGGTGCTCGGGTGTCGCTTTCTGCTACGGCCGATCCTGCTCAGAGTGCTTCAGTCAAGGGACAAGTTCCCGGAATTTGCCCGTTCGCTGGAGTTTGCTTTTCTTGGACATACTGCGGTACTCGTGGGCATGGTTTCTGGTGCGACGTATGCGGGCACCTCCAGTTTATTTGCTGCCTATCTTGCTGGTGTCATCGCTTCGTGGTTTGATGGCTTGGTTCAAGTGACTGCCTCCACCGAGGGCTGCGATCCAGCACCAGGCCGGTCAAATGAAGGATCAGCATCTGGACTGCGCGTCTACGAGACCTACTATGCCAGTCCGGTGAAGCGCATCCTCACCCCCATGTTTTTTGTAAGTTTTCCATGGTTTAATGTATCTATTCACTGACAAATAGGCGTCGATTGGGTTCGCAATCCCCATCACCGAGATGTTCCAAGGGAGCGTTGTCTGGCGAGGTTTCGTCTATGCTATCCTCATGACGTTTGGGAAGATGTGTACTGGACTTTGGCTCGTCCGGATCTCACCTCGATCTGGCCTCAGCACTTTCGTTCTGATTCTTGCTACGCCCTTCTCTTATGCAAATTCTTGCCTTAGTCGGTCAAAGGCTGAACAGGAGAAGAGCCGCACACAGGAAGGAAACAACCAGATGCAAAAGACTGGAGATAGCCAACCACATCCGCAAGCAGACCAGACCAATCCCGAACCCGTCGATCCCAACCGGCACGAAGTTCAAACCACCGACACCCCTCCGCAGCAAACCCAGCAACAGCAACACCCCTCATCACCCCTCCTCCCAAAACCAAAATCCCTCTACCCAGCTTCAATCCTATCGCTGGCCATGGTCGCCCGCGGCGAGATTGGCTATCTGATTGCCTCGCTCGCAGAATCGAACCAGATCTTCGGAGAGACAGTTGGGGGAACCTCGTCTGAGACATACCTCGTCGTTGTCTGGGCGATATCTCTGTGTACGCTTATCGGACCGATTTCAGTGGGAAGCTTGGTGAAGAGAGTAAAGAGTTTGCAAGCGCGGCGGAGGACTTCGAACGTGGGGGGTGGGGATCCGTTGGGTGTTTGGGGGGTTTAAATAGTCCACGGTTTAGTTGTCAATATCCACGCGACGCTCTCATGGACTCAATGGACGATATCTCAGTTGATTCATATGCACACCTCTTGATTCATTATGAACATCTAATCATTGGCAACAGATATATTAACTATACTCCCATATACGTTTCTCAATCTGCATCATGAACCTCCCATCATATCAGCATTCAAGTACTTACCGTCTCTGATTGCCCGCAACAACAAGCGGCTTCTCCGGACTCAACCTGTTCAGTGCACTCTCCGGCAACCGCAGCGTATCGCCCACAATCTGCTTACTTGTGGAGCCTAGCCCCTGCCCAAGTGCAATATCTACACAGTCAGCACCATCAAACCAAAGCCAAAGACAGGGACATACCACTAAAATGATCCGCCTGCAACACCTCCAAAAACACCAACTCCTCATCCCCCGTATTCTTAATATAATGGCTGTGACTCTGTGGGAAATACGCCACATCCCTAGGATGATAATCAAATGTTATTACCATATTTAGCGCCTTAATTAGCATCGCGCGGCCATACCCTAAGATAAAAAACATCTACTTGTTACTTATTGGGTGCCAGTGGATTTCGCGCATTGCGCCTGGCTAAATAGTTACAAGTGCTGCAGTAAAGTTATTGGCTATAGGAAAGGTTAGCAGGTTAATAATCTTAATGCTCCCGCCTGGTGTGATATATGCAGGTTATTTAGAGAAGTGGTAGCTAAAGGTGTTTTTTTGGAGACTTGGCCTGAGGGCGTGGTGATGTTTTACTTAGCAATGTCTTTTAGGGCGGGTGTGCTAGGGAAGGTAAAGAGTTCTTTACTAGGGATGTTATTAAAGGCTAAGAGGGGGAGGTTAAAGTTTTTAAAGAGGACAGATTTCTGGCCTGTTAGATTCTAATAATATTAAAAGGTCAAGATAGGGTACTAGGTTATAGGCAAAGATCTTAGACACCAGGAAGGTGTTATCTTTGGAAAAGGAGCTAGTGTCAAAGACTAGGAGGAACTTGACGCCGCCTTCAAGGGCTTGGATAGAGTGGGGGACGGCACTACTTATTAGTATCTCTTAATAGAGAGAGACCAGGAGGGATGTATGGAGGGAAGAACCAGACATCACTGGCTATGACGTTGTCAAGGAAGGTCTCTCTGTCTTTGTTAATGGCCTATGCTGTTAGCCCTACCTGTCAGTATAGAGTCCTGAGAAGGGTAGCTGAATCTGACACGACCCGTTCAGAACAAGACTCCATTCACCGGCCACATGCCAGTGCAGGTCATGGTAGGCATCCGCCTCCAGACGCATATCGACGCCCGCCATTTTCGTGGCGTCGGGCACGACGACGATGCTCTCTTGCTTGGACCACCCTGCGCCGTCGAGAC